GTTCCATGGAGGCACATACTGAGTACTGTGGGGACTACTTCTAAATTTTTTCAGCCTTCCTGACAGTGAATCAATAGGTGCAACTTCATTTAACAGATGATGCCATGAATTAGATTATTTTATGCCTCATTTATCATGTTTTTCAGAGAACACCAAAGCTCCTTCAAAATTCCAAGTACTCAAAGCAGACGGGGTCAGAGTAGCCGGAAAGCAGAGCAAAATCTTTCATGAAGAACATTTTGCATCCACTTCCACATCACATAACCTATTCGCACAATAGATCAATTTGATTAGAAATATATGAAGAAGAAAAAGTTATATATAAATATAATGAAGAAGAAAAAGTTATATATAAAGGTTTTTTATGTTAACTATCCTGTATATACATACATACAAAATTTCTCCTTCTTTCCCTTTTCTTTTCCCACATCCCAGTTGCCCTTTACCCTTGAGTGTTTTCCTAGGTTGATTCATTAAATCAGGAATGTGACTTCGAGGGAGCATTGCTCCCATTTCTAAGTATGGCTTCAGAGTTTCCCAAGATACCACTTTAAGTCTGTAGCAAGCATCCAGTCCCGTGCACGTGTTCCCGTACCTCCTTGCCATTTCGATCCTCTTTTTTGATGCCTTTTTTGAACTGGAGCTCATAGATTGTTTCTATACATATGTTGTGTTACTTTTCTTATTAATTTGGTTTTTATGGTTTTGGTTTTATATCTCTGATTAATCTCAAGCCATATTCTGAGAAGATTTCAGGAAATCTGACTTGTAAGACTACAGTGTGGTATTTATCAGATTTTTCTTTGTGATGATGGATGGCCCAACCCCTGCGGATCTGACCAGTAAGAAAGTGTCCCTGGGGCAATCATTAAGAAGGCAAACAACAGAAAATGCTGGTGAGGCTGCCAGGAATGTAAACTAGTACAACTATTATGGAAATCAGTATGAAAATTTCTTAAAGAACTGAAATTGGAAATTCCGTATGACCCAGCGATTCCCTGCTAGACATCTTCCCCAAAGAGCCCATGACATCATATTACAGCAGGACTTGTAGACCAATGATCATAGCAGCACAACTTGTAATAGCTAAGTACGGGAAATAACCTGCATACCCAGCAACAGATGACGGATAAAGAAGGTGTGGGGTTGCCAGGTGTGGTGTTGCCAGGCGTGGTGGCACACGCCTGTAATCTCAGCACTTGAGAGGCTGAGGCAGGAGGATCACTGAGTTTGAGGCCAGCCAGGGTTACATAAGCAAGTTCAGGGCCAGCCTGCACTACACAGTGAGACTCTGTCTC